CTGTCCAGTGTTACTGGATGGATAGTTGTACAGCAATAGTTTTGAATATACAGTAAACAAAAATATATCTGTATTCCAAAAACGATTTCCAAAGTAAATATCATTTTCAAAAATAGACGTTAGATTAGTAAAACTTGTTAAAGCAGAGAAAAGTTATGTCTTATACCCCGTTTTTTTTTAGTAAAGGACAGATAAACACCAGTAATTCAAAAGAGTAGGCGATAGTCTGAGCTTTACTGCTTTATTTATTCCATTAAGTTTTAATTCATTGTACAATTTTACATGTAGCTAGTTATATACATTTATAGGTAAAATTGATTCCGTTTTTATAAAGGTTTCATCAAAATGAATCAACAATTTAGATACAATCAAAAAGATGTTTTTGAGAAGCATATCACAAAATCATACTCAAGTTTACAGTATCTGCTATATAAACAGAGTACAAATTACGTAACAGTGTTGATAGCATTCAGCATGAGGAAATAAAGTTTTGAAAATTGAAGTTGATGGTATCATCTTTCTTGCTAGATATATCAGACGAGAAGTGGTCGACCCAGTGCCGGAATCGTTTGACTGGAGATCCAAGAACATGGTAACGGCAGTAAAAGATCAAGGTTAGTACATTATAGTATTGTACTATGTAAACAGGTACGAGTCTAAAGTGTCTCAACGGGTAAGTTTAATACATTTATTACATGTATATGACACACATTTGCCCTACATTCTCATTGGTTGGTTCGTAATCACATGGAGGTCGGTGATTTGTTATATTAACGCGTTGATTTGTGATATTAACTCGGTGGTATTGTGTTTAGAATCAACAGGTTTATATTCACTTTATGCCGTAATTTCAATTGTAACGTCACGATTTCCCAGCCAAATGCAATGCATACCTCTTAAAGATTCCCATACGTTTTATCTTGTTTAATGATTGAAACTTTATTTGGGATCTTATATAACAATTAAGAAAGTGTTATTGACCGAGACGAAGTCGATATTAGAATCTTTTCTAAGGTTCATATAACTTCATATTCACCTCAATAAATGTCCATAATTGAAAAATTTAGTAATTTACATTTTCAGGTTAGAAGTGTAGACTGGGAGGGGCTGATATCCACCATTTTATCATGTAATGACAACTATAAGTAGCGGTACTACGTAAACTATATATGTTTTCATTATTTTATGAAAATCAGTCAGAAGTTTATTTTATGAGTACAATAACTATTATTTCTGTAATAAAGTTGGTGTTCAGATCTCAGATTCGACAGTTATATGTATCATGACTTAAAAAGGAAATAAAAGAAATGTCATAAATACAATACTAGTACATGTATCACAAATAAGTTATCTGAAGCATCATCACAAAAATATGATTAGACGATAAACCTTATTACATTATAATAAACTAAAACATATGTTTTACTATGTCTGTTCTCCTGATGGACAAGTCTTGTGTAAAACCAGCATTTCCTAGTCCTAGGTGAAACTGAAATGTAATAAAGAAAAAAATATAATATACTAATATCATTTACCGAAATTGTTTAAATTAGGATCCCGGAAAAGTTTAAGTAAACCATCATGGCCTTGATGAAACTGACAAATTATAAATGAATGATACAGATATTAATAAACTAGGTAAATCATAGACCGTATCTGTTCGTCGTTTGGGCCCTGACCTCGATGTAACTGAAATATGACACTGAAGAATACAATTCGTGTTGTCCTTTGTAGGTTCCGCGGGGTCATGCTGGGCATTCAGGTAAGTTACTTATGTTATAGCCATTGGCTGAGGTCGACGCTTAAATTCATTAATATAAGAAATAGAATAATAACAGAGGACAAATTTAATTTAAATCTAAATTATAATTTAAATTGTATTAAATGACAGTTTTGGTAGCAACAACAGTTTTGGTAACAACAATGACAAATAAATAATCTAGAAACAGTTAATGAGAGCTACGGTAACAACAATGACAAATTAATAATCTAGAAACAGTTAATGATAGCTACATGTATGGTAACAACAATGACAAATTAATAATCTAGAAACAGTTAATGAGATCTATGGTAACAACAATGACAAATAAATAATCTAGAAACAGTTAATGAGAGCTATTCCAAGTATTCTTGTAATGCGTTTGATGTTCAAGGTCGAAGTGTTCCAACCATCTACAAACAGTTACATTGTGTACGTACATAATGACAAAATAAATAGTTAAAGAAAAATTGTCCGAGGCGAAAACGACCGTGATAAAAATACAACGTTCACGCATGGTAATGCTAATGTCATATTGTAGTTTCTTGAGGAATCTTCCATCAGACTTGGCTTTACCGTTCATTCCTGACACCATCCTTTCTGATATATTTTGAACATTCATATTTAATTTAAAATAACATTTCATCGGTGGCTCAGCATTTTACATTCTCAATCAAATTGTTGCTACTTCGAAAGACATTTATTTTCGAGTTTGCTTCATTGCCGAATTATAAATGATATGGTATCTTTTAGTTATACAGATGTTTTCAATACATGGTAAGTTATTGAAATCATAAACTTGAAAATTAGATTTATTGTTACGATTTTACATTTTATATAGCGCTCTATATACTATAGCTATACGTAACAAAGCCGATCTAAGGTGTTTCAAATAAACAGATAAATGGACATGTATACAATTCATTCAATCAGTTAGTACAATCAAAATAATATGAGGACAGCATAGATGCTAACTACTGGTCCTAAGCCACCTCGCTAAAACCTCCACATCAGACATTGTATGTCTAGGTTTCGCTCGATGGTGTATCGGTACGTGATCTGTTTTGCAGATATTCCGTCTTCCAACGTCCTCTTTTTTTCATAATTTCACCTCACTTTTGTTTTGACTATTATTTTCTCGATAAGATATGTTGGGACTTTGTGGGCAGGACAGAACACCATCTTTTTTCTATGCTACGGTTGTTTGAGGTTATTCAATCCTTGCCCTCGGCTAGAGGGTTAAGAGTTTAACCATCTATGAAATCCTCCCTTCAGCATTCCTTAATATTAATCAAAAAGATCTACAGAAATGTTTTTGAAAAGGAATCATGTGTTTATTCACACACAAATCAAATTTATGTTTGTGTTGATCTATTGAGCTGATCAACGAACTAAGACATGTCATTAATAATTTATTTTAAAGCACGATCGGAAATTTGGAGGGACAGTGGGCGATGGCGGGAAAACAACTAACGAACCTCTCTGTGGAACAGGTGGTGGATTGTGATGGAATGGAAGATATTAAGGGGTGAGTTTTTTTCAATAGAACAATTGAAGTACATGACCAATATCACAATCCTTTATATTTTGGTCGCTATTGTGTTTTTCTTGCTCAAAGATCACTATTAGAAGGGTTATTAACATAATAGCTCTCCGATACACAGTCCCAGACAGATCACTAGTTAGAAGTTGTTGGAACACCGTTGCTTTAATTTCTGGTCAAGTTTAAAAGTTAAGAAATATGCCATAGTAATGATTCTATGCCCTCCTATCTAGACCCCGATCGTGATTTAGTTTTTGATTAATATATTTTTTCTCGCAGAGGTAATGCTGATTGTGGAGTATTTGGGGGATGGCCTTACCTTGCTTACCAATACATAATGAGGGCGGTGAGTTTGTTTATTATATCTGTCGCCATGACAAAATATATTGGTGAAGACGTGTATTGTAGGTACAAAACTAATCTAACTCCACTTTTTATAAAATATATTCACATTCCAATACAAGTCTGTATATACAAGTAAGTGAAAACACTACCAGCGAAAGTCACTTGAGGGCTTCGAATGCAGTTGAATTAGATTCATTTGGTGTTTATCTTCCCGTTTGCCGTAACGAAAGACAATCGCAAGAAGCAACTATTTACATGACTTGCAACTGTTCCAGGAATTTGGATTTAACTAACGTTTAAGAAACTTCAGTTTCATAAATATCATTTAATGCTTATGTTAAGATTGTTTTATCTACATATTAAGAATACATGTGGGACAAAGAAGTAATTCCAACAGTGTGGACAAGTTTAGGTTGTTTATACATGTATATGTCTATACATGTATATGTTTATACATGTATATGTTTATTCATGTATATGTTTATACATGTATATGTCTATATATGTATATGTTTATACATGTATATGTCTATAGGTGTATATGTCTATATATGTATATGTTGATACATGTATATGTCTATACATGTATATGTCTATATATGTATATGTTTATACATGTATATGTCTATAGGTGTATATGTCTATATATGTATATGTTGATACATGTATATGTCTATACATGTATATGTCTATACATGTATATGTCTATACATGTATATGTCTATACATGAATATGTTTATACATGTATATGTCTATACATGTATGTGTCTATACATGTATATGTTTATACATGTATATGTCTATAGGTGTATATGTCTATATATGTATATGTTGATACATGTATATGTCTATACATGTATATGTCTATACATGTATATGTCTATACATGTATATGTCTATACATGTATATGTCTATACATGTATATGTCTATACATGTATATGTCTATACATGAATATGTTTATACATGTATATGTCTATACATGATTATGTTTATACATGTATATGTTTATACATGTATATGTTTATACATGTATTAAGAAAACATGTATATTCATTAACATTCATGATGGTGTTATGGCAAATCGGTTACATCGATATTTATCATGAAATCCCACGGGCTTTTTGCGATGCTGATGCAACCATTGTCCGTTGATGCGTATAAACATTGTACAAAGATTATTACATGGAAGTAAACAACACATGTGTAGTTTGTTCCTAGCGACGTTATAAGATAGTAACATTGCAATGATTGTGTTGTTTGTTTTGATATGAATTACTCGAAGCTCTTTTTATCTCCTTTTCATATTACCATAATTACATATCCTCTGCATGTTCCCAGGGTATCGAATTTATACGGATATGACCTAAGTTTTATCTGTGTAATTTTGAAGCTTTCTTCTTGTCTCAAATCATGTGAGACTATCATAGGAACTAAACACTTAAAAGATGTTGCATGAGTGTTGATAGTCCTGACGGTAGGAAACTTCAATACAAATTTTTTAGGAACCATGTATTTTAAGATCTATAATTATGTTTTCAGTTTAAATGTTCATGGTCAACCAAAACCTGATACATCGTTCATTCAACATAGATGTACCTAATTTTCGTTTAACCTGAATGAATCTAAAACTAAAACTACGTCCAGTTTCTATATGAAAAATCACGAGAAGACATTGTATTATAATCAAAGTGTCACGCTATGATAGTTATACACGGACATGGGCCATGGTGTTACTTTGACTGTTTATTCTGGGGTCGAAAATATTACACTGCAACGTTCAGGTAAACACGAAATTTTGAACAAAATCAATTTTAAGCATTGACTATAACTTTTGATAGGAATCGGTTTTTATAGGGGGGAAAAGAAAAACAGTCGAAACGATAAAAGAGTTTAGAAGAGCTGGTTGTTGTTTCATTGACATATACCGTAACGTTGTATTCTTAAGTCAGAATAGAGTACGGACAAGAATATCCGGAAGTTTATTTTTTTATATCAAAATGTGAATTTATACTTATTTGTTAAAAATATGTATAAGACGAATACTGATACTTGATAGAATATTTTGAACAGTATGTACATTATTTAAAGCGCGATTATTGACGCCCATGTACATTGTATGTATATTTATATATATGTTTATGTCAAAAAAAATTGAAAATATAATAAAAATAAATAAAAAAAAGAGTCAGATATTGAAAATATTGCATTTAAAATACTCACGTGTTGATTGTTATGACAAGTACATGTACAAGAAAAGTTGCAAAATTTAAATAAATTATGCAAAGATGTGTTATATGTAATTCCTCCATATGTAAATGGAAACTATGAAATTCGGTGTTTTAACTGTATTTGTGTGTTCGTGCCAAGGGTGGCCTGGAGACGTGGGAGGATTACTGGTACTGCTCCGGTCTAGGCGGGGCCCCGGGAACTTGTGAAGTGTGCCCGGCTCCTGGGTATAATACCTCCCTATGTGGCCCGCCAATTCCGTACTGTAATATGAGTCAAAGCTGTATTGTCAAGCTGAACAAGTCCAAGTTTGTTCCTGGATTCAAGGTCAACACATGGAAGGCCATCAGTGAGGTAAACAAGGGATCGTAGTTGTACAGGTTTTGGGGTGTTTAACTGCTCTGTTAGAAGTTCAAATTCAAGTTCGTTATTACCTTTAGCTTAACAGCTCATCAGTTGTGCATATACAGTGTAACATAAAGTATACCATTAAACAACAACACACCACTTCCGCCACTACCCCTAGAAGGGTAGAGAAATATCCTTCACTGCTAAAAGTAATGTACTAGTACTTAATAATAAAATAACATCTGATAACAAGGATATATTAATGCATTACTGACAAGCACAAGAGACATTTGACTTAGTTCAATGTATTTTGCTGTATTTCTTCTAGCAATTCTTATCTATTTGGCCAAATTCGCTAAAAACAATAATCTGTGGACAACAACTTCATAAATATATACATACGTGATTGTCTAATATAGAAAGGTTTAATAAATGAATTGCGTAAATCGGAATAAAATCGATGTTTTAGAACCATATCCATCGTAGGAGAACTCCTTTTTGACAATGCCTGTTTTTCTTAATACCGAATGCAATTAAGAAATTACACAAAAACATGTATAAAACCTATACAACTGTTACTTGGTGAAGTCAAATGACTATTTAAGATAACTGTGTGAATCGGTATTACGTTATAGAATGAGACAGTGATTGCAGACCAGTTGATGCAGATTGGTCCACTCTCGGTCGCATTGGACGCGGAACTGCTACAGTTCTACCACAGTGGTGTCTTCTCCACCTACTTCTGTTCAAAGACGAAACTCGACCATGGTAAGTCAGGGACAGCAATTCTTTATAGTACTGTTATAATGCCTATTGTTAACGCCATGTTGATGACATACAGGGTTGTCGCTCTTTGGCCTGTGCATATTCTAAGTGCCCATATTGCAGCTTTAGGAGGCTGGCTATATGCTACCCAATGTCTTTGCATACGTATAAACATAATTCTGAAAGAAAGGTAACGCAGGATTTTGGTCATCCGCGATAAGGAGCTAATTGGACATTTATATTGTATTTCTAAGAACCGATAATAATCAATAAATATATATTCAGGAAGAAGATTATAATTGCAACAAAAATGAATCCATACAAAATCACTAGAGAGTTCAGAATTTTGGTATTGTATTTCTAAGAACCGATAATAATCAATAAATATATATTCAGGAAGAAGATTATAGTTGCAGCTAAAATGAATTCATACAAAATCACTAGATAGTTCAGAATATTATTGATATTATGATAATTTGCCAATTGATTCAAGCCAACATTTTGAGAGCCATCAACGAAATTAAAAATGAAGAAATCCCAGTGAAACAGGAAATCGTTTCTATTGTTTCATTGTTATTTATTTCGGTGCGTTCGTCCGGGTTTCTTTCTCCCTTTTACTTCGTCTGTTACACTTGCTTTCCGTGCAGTCATTCCCTTACCAACAAATAGTTCCATCGCAACCAAACTTAGTTAATACTGGCATGTGTCTCACTATGTTTGTTAGGGGTGTGAGTATGAACGGATATTGAAGGAGGCTAAATACACGTGATTGGTTTGTTTCGAAGCAATTTCTCATCTTAAAATGATTGGATTTCAGCCAACATTGGTGAGCACCTTCAGATTCAAGCTCAGTTTGTATTGTCAATTTAATGCTTACATATCAATGTATTATTAAGTAGGCTTCCTATGTCAGATTAGTTAATCGGCTTCTAAGTGAAATTATTTGGTTTAAAGCAAAGTGCAGATTAGTATTGGCAGATTGTGGGAATGTTTGGATTAGCAAATCGATGCATGCATATTTACACAGATTTGATGAGGTAACACAATTGTGATAAGTTACTGAATAGGTTTCCTTAAAATAACACTACTAAAAATGGTTCGATCCAATCAACATATACCCATTGCTGAGTGGAACAGCCTCCACAACCCATACATGTTTAGTATAAATACGTCAAACTCAAGTAGAAAACTGGAGAGTTTAAGGAATACCTGCTTAGGATTATCCGCCCTATTTAATAATATACTGAACAAAAAAAGAAACGCACAAAGTTTTCCCCTGTAGTACATCTTAGCTGTAAGGAAATAATGGAATATTTGGTCAGGTATTACATTAAGAACGATCTCACTTCTCAACAATCTACCCTAAAATCAGCCAAGCGTGACGATGTCATTGTGTGACTTTGTGAGCTTCGTTAGTCCAAATCATGCGGCGTGATCAAGCCAAGCCGGAGTTTTTCAAACAAATAATCTCAACGGATACTCTAGGTTCAGCCACGTTATTTTTCCACGTTGGCATTTTGATTTCGCCATTGACTGAGATGCCACGCTAAACGCAAATTCAGAGGGGTAGAGCAATTGCGATATCGATGGATGGTCATAGCCAAACTGCTGTCGCACGGCAGTTTGGTGTTGGCCCGTGTCGCTTAACCGTCTCTGTACACGTTTCCGTGCTACTGGGTTAGTTTCCGATCGTCCCAGGAGCGATCGTCCGCGTGTAACGACCGCACGGCAAGACAGGGCGATTCGATTGTCGCACTTGCGCAACAGATTCAATACTGCTGTAGAGACTGCGTCGCATACCTTAGGTACTCATGGCAGACCCATTAGTCCTCAAACTGCCAGGAACCGCTTGCGTGCCGAGAGAATCATTGCGCGCCGACCTTATGTCGGGCCACCTCTGACACCACGGAGGCGGCAAGTGCGTCTTGACTGAATGCGCAGACATGGCCCGAATAGGTTTGGGATGCGTCGATGGAGGCGTGTGATGTTCACCGACGAGTCTAGATTATGTCTGTATCGCTCAGACGGAAGAAAAAGGGTATATTGCAGACGCGGTGAGCGTTTCGCCGACGCATGCCTGGTTGAACGCGATAGATTCAATGGGGCTTCTGCAATGGTTTGGGGAGGCATCTCCCATGGAGTAAAATCCCCTTAGTGGTCCTGGATCAAAACCTTAATGCCGTTCGATACAGAGACAAGATCCTCCAACCACATGTCCTTCCACTTCTCAAACGTTATAACCTCATTTGCCAGCAAGACAATGCTCGACCGTATGTTGCCAGAGTCTGTCGTGATTTTCTCACGGCAAACAACGTTCAGCCTCTGGAATGGCCCCCATATAGCCCCGACATGTCTCCCATTGAGCATCTGTGGGATGAGCTGGACAGGCGTATTAGGAAACGTCAAAACCCCCCAACTAACCGCGCCCAGTTGATCGCAGCATTAACACAGGAATGGAACAGCATTCCCTTAAGGCGAATAAATGTTCTCATGAATTCAATGCATAGGAGAATCCGTGCAGGGATTCGTGCAAAAGGTACCCACACCAGGTACTGAAATGTCATTTTGTTTTTCGCGGGTATCCCACTTTGAATGACTACTGATGACACGAGTGACGTCACACAGACTTTTCTTCTACAGTATTGTAAAGAGTTGACTTGTCCCTTCATATTGATATAACATTTTGTACAAATGTCCCAAAACATCATAGGCTATTGATTGCATAATTTAATTGTGTGTTTCTTATTTTGTTCAGTATATGTCTATATCAAACCGCGATGATTAACAGCAGATACAACATTTTCTGCTAGCTGTGGTTATATATTCAATAGTTTAAAATGATTTCTAAGCTTGTTACCAGATCGTTTTGAATGTTTTTGAATTATGTACAACAAGTAAGTTATTTGCCAATACATTTTTTCTTACAAATAAATTAACTGAATTCCACGAATTCATTTCTTTCCGTTTAAAACACTAGCTCTCTATCAACGGCATTTTTCTTTTAAATTAGGAACATGTAAGTTCATGGCGAAATTTATCAGCGTTTTGGAAAATTGGCTGATATTACAGAACTAAAAAATTGACTCATAATATGGGATGTATTAAATTAAGTTTTGTTTTCGTGTTTCATGTTCTCAGCTGTGCTTCTAGTGGGGTTCGGCAAGGAGAAGGGATTGTTTGAGACCACAGATTACTGGACTGTGAAGAATTCCTGGGGTCCCAAGTGGGGCGAAAGTGGCTACTTCCGGATCAAACGCGGGGACGGAATGTGTGGCATTAACACTGCGGTCACCACCGGTGTGCTTGGTGCATGACCGTTGTGACATCATGGACTCCGTGATTCTTCGCTAATTATTACGATACAACGACGAGAGGTGTATAAGGAGGAAGGAAATGACCAAATTATATTGATAGATATATTATTTTTGTATTGATAATTTTGAGATTATAAAATATGTTTGTAAAATTATGGTGTACCACTTTTGACAATTAAGAAAATACCATACTATGGAAAAGGTATTGTGCTTGTATTGATTCCACTTTTAATCATTTGAGTGCAGTTCATATGCGATTAAGGTCCGGAAAATAGATTTATTGTAGAGTTATGATAAACCAGAAAAGTCAACTGATTTGGACACTCTATAACATGTCGATTAAAATATGGGTTTAAATGTGTTTTTAGGAACCTACGGTAATTTAAAATGTTCAATAACGTTTTATTTTTTGAAAATATGTCTACATGCAACTATATATGCTTGATGTGATTTGTCAGGTACATGTACATTTTGAAAGTTACTCTTTAAGCTTCTCTTGATGAAATGACATCTTACATTTGGAGGCAACAGACCCTTATTTTGAATGATATGTGGATCTTTCAATATTTGAAAAAAAATGATGTGACTTCTTATAACACTGCACTCCACAGAGTTCTCCATTGATGGTCATACATTTGTTGCTATTCTTTTATTTCTTTGCCCATTTACAGGTGCCGTTTTTCTCTACGGAAAATGGGCCTCCATAAAATCTAATTTTAATTTGACCTCGACTCAGTTGTTACCTTTAGTTAAAAAAAAATGTTTTATCCGAAAATAAGTGTGTCATATTTCCTTTAATTTTTGTTTTTTTTGCGTCTGTGGTTATTGTTTATAAATGTATTTTGCCAAATTTGAGATTATGAAATGCATTCCATGGACGTTTACACTTATCTACCCGAAATCAATCAATCTTCATTCCTGTGCAAAAGAAGACGTGTAGGATTGAATTAAGTTCAGGTGAAAAAATGGTACTGCATTAAAATACAATACATAAAACACACCATTTGTACTCTCTTGAAGATGTTTGGTTTCTGGCCGTCTTTGTCGGACTCAGATTATGTATATTGTTATTTGTTTGACTGTGATTGATAATCTAATAAAACCCATATTTGTTGATTTGTCTGTTGAATTATCCCGTTATATTGCAGTGGTTTCAACGGGGGTCTATATACACATGGCTAAACATATTATGTCGTAGTGGTATTGGAGCAGTAGATCTAAATATACATGTATTATTATGGTATGTTGTTGTGGTATCGGAGCAGTAGATCTATATAAACATGAATTATCATGTTACATGGTAATGGTATCGGAGCAGTAGATCTATTTACAAATGGATTATCATGTGACGTGGTATCGGAGCAGTAGAACTATATACACATCGATTATCATGTTACGTGGTATCGGAGCAGTAGATCTATATATTATACACATGGATTATCATGTAATGTCGTAATGGTGTCTGAGCAGTAGATCAATATACACATGTATTATTATGTAATGTCGTAATGGTGTTGGAGCAGTAGATCTATCTACACATGTATTAATATGTAATGTCGTAATGGTGTCGGAGCAGTAGATCTATCTACAATTGAATTATCATGTAACGTCGTAATGGTGTCGGAGCAGTAGATCTATATAAACATGAATTATCATGTTACGTGGTAGTGGTGTTGGAGCAGTAGGAGCAGTAGATCTATCTACACATGAATTATCATGTGACGTGGTATCGGAGAAGTAGATCTATATACCCATGGATTATCATATAACGTCGTAATGGCTTCGGAGGAGTAGATCAATATATACATAGATTATCATGTGATGTCGTGGTGTTATCGGAGCCGTAGATCTTTATACACATGAGCAGTAGATCTATTTACACTTGGATTATCATGTAATGTTATAGTGGTATCGGAACAGTAGATCTATTTACAAATGGATTATCATGTGGCGTGGTATCGGAGCAGTTGATCTATATACACATGTATTATCATGTAATGTCATAGTGGTATCGGAGCAGTAGAACTATATACACATCGCTTATCATGTTACGTGGTAGTGGTGTCTGAGCAATCATGTTACGTGGTAGTGGTGTCTGAGCAATCATGTTACGTGGTAGTGGTGTTGGAGCAGTAGATCTAAATATACATGTATTATTATGTAATGTCGTAATGGTGTCTGAGCAGTATATCTATCTACAATTGAATTATCATGTAACGTTGTAATGGTGTTGGAGCAATAGATCTATCTACACATAAATTATCATGTAACGTCGAAATGGTGTCGGCGCAGTAGATCTATCTAGAATTGAATTATCATGTAACATCGTAATGGTGTCGGCGCAGTAGATCTATCTAGAATTGAATTATCATGTTACATGGAAATGGTATCGGAGCAGTTGATCTATCTACAATTGAGTTATCATGTAACGTCGGAATGGTGTCGGAGCAGTCGATCTATATACACATGGATAGTGGTGTTGGAGCAGTAGGAGCAGTAGATCTATATAAAAATGAATTATCATGTTACATCGTAATGGTATCGGAGCGGTAGATCTATATACACATGTATTATCATGAAATGTCGTAGTATCAGAGCAGTAGATCTATTTACACATGGATTATCATGTAACGTCGTTATGGTGTTGGAGCAGTAGATCTATATATACATAGATTATCATGTAATGTCGTGGTATCGGAGCAGTAGATCTATTTACACATGGATTATCATCTAATGTCATGGTGGTATCGGAGCAGTAGATCTATTTACACATGGATTATCATTTAATGACGTGGTGGTATCGGAACAGTAGATCTATTTACACATGAATTATTATGTAATGTCGTAATGGTGTTGGAGCAGTAGATCTATTTACACATTAATTATCATTTAATGACGTGGTGGTATCGGAACAGTAGATCTATTTACACATGAATTATTATGTAATGTCGTAATGGTGTTGGAGCAGTAGATCTATAAACACATGGATTATCATGTAATGACGTAGTGGTATCGGAACAGGATATCTATTTACACATGAATTATTATGTAATGTCGTAATGGTGTTGGAGCAGTAGATCTTTTTACACATGGATTATCATGTAACGTCGTAATAGTGTTGGAGCAGTAGATCTATTTACACATGGATTATCATGTAACGTCGTAATGGTGTTGGAGCAGTAGATCTATATACACATGGATTATCATGTAATGTCGTAATGGTGTTGGAGCAGTAGATCTATATACATATAGATTATCATGTAATGTCGTTGTATCGGAGCAGTAGATCTATTTACACATGGATTATCATGTAATGTCGTAATGGAGTTGAAGCAGTAGATATATATACATATAGATTATCATGTAATGTCGTTGTATCGGAGCAGTAGATCTATTTACACATGGATTATTATGTAATGTCGTAATGGTGTTGGAGCAGTAGATATATATACATATGGATTATCATGTAATGTCGTGGTATCGGAGCAGTAGATCTTTTTACACATGATCATGTAACGTCGTAATGGTGTTGGAGCACTAGATCTATTTACACATGGATTATCATGTTACGTGGTAGTGGTGTCGGAGCAGTAGATCTATCTACACATGAATTATCATGTAACGTCGTAATGGTGTTTGAGCAGTAGATCTATATATACATTGATTATCATGTAATGACGTAGTGGTATCGGAACAGTAGATCTATTTACACATGGATTATCATGTAACGTTGTAATGGTGTTGGAGCTGTAGATCTATATACACATGGATTATCATGTAATGTTGTGGTATCGGAACAGTAGATCTATTTACACATGGATTATCATGTAACGTCGTAATGGTGTTGGAGCAGTAGATTTATATACACATGAATTATCATGTAATGTCGTGGTATCGGAGCAGTAGATATATTTACACATGGATTATCATGTAACGTTGTAATGGTGTTGGAGCAGTAGATCTATATACACATGGATTATCATGTAATGTCGTGGTATCGGAACAGTAGATCTATTTACACATGGATTATCATATAACGTCGTAATAGTGTCCGGATGAGTAGATCTATATATACATCGATTATCATGTAATGACGTAGTGGTATCGGAGAAGTAGATCTATATACACATGGATTATCATATAACGTCGTAATTGTGTTCGAGCAGTAGATCTACTTACACATGGATTATCATGTAATGTCGTGGTATCGGAGCAGGAGATCTATTTACACATAGATTATCATATAACGTCGTAATGGTGGCGGAGCAATAGATCTATTTACACATCGATTATCATGTAATGACGTAGTGGTATCGGAGCAGTAGATCTATTTACACATGGATTATCATGTAATGACGTGGTGGTATCGGAGCAGTATAACTATTTACACATAGATTATCATGTAATGTCGTAATGGTGTCCGGAGGAATAGATCTATATATACATAGATTATCATGGAATGACGTAGTGGCATCGGAGTAGTAGAGATATATACACATGGATTATAATATAACGTCGTAATAATGTCTATGCAGTAGATCTATATATACATAGAGTATCATGTAATGACGTAGTGGTATCGGA